CTATCCCAACCTGTCTAAATTTGTCCACTCTGCAGATCTGTTATCATCACAACCATAGTAAGTTTTTTCTTTTCCTCTTTTTTTGCTACTTACATTCCCGTGTGATAACCGCCTATAAACAATAATTCTTTTGGCTGGTTCTTTGTTGACGAAAAATTGAATCTGTATAAATGCGCTATTTGCCTATTTCTTTTTATTGCGACACTGACACCTTAGAATTCCTGTAGGTAGTTTCTGTTCTTGCTATGTCATCTGCGTGCTAAGCTGTCCTCTTGTGCTGTTTCTGCTCTATGTCATTGTGGTTAAAACACTGTAAACCTGCAGTGTATTTTTGTTCTCTCGTTTTTTAGTAATATTTTTCCGCTATTTGAATGGAATCCTTCAACAGATGCATGACACGACAAATAGAATCTTTTTTGTTATTGATTCCATTTCTCATTTTTCGAATGTCCACCTTTCCCAGAGGGCGTGGCTGTTAAAGCTCCTAGCTATTGCATTGCATACTGGTTCTGGAAGCAGTTCAGCTCACATAGAGGCATGTCAGAGCATACTTTCTCATCTTTTCGGGTTGGAAGTTACTGAAGCAGGGAATGAATCTTTTTCTTTGAATCTTTTTCTTCCAGTACGTGTATCCTCTTCAGGATGGTTTAATTATTTATGATGCCTCCTTTTTTCATGCAACAGTGTTTTCCTTCACTGCACCTGTGAGAATGTTGTACATATCATCATTTCTTACCTAGTTTGAAGTCGTTTATGGGCACTGCTTGAGGTTATTCAGTTTAGATCTTCTGATGCTTCGATGCAGCTTCCTCAAATTGTGTCTAGCTTGAAGTATGACACACTGGTAAGGCTTGAGAATGTCTGCATTGAGTTTACTGGTTTGAATATGACTTTTAATTTCAGATGGAGGACATCCTTGGGAACCGCCTCTGTTAGCGGCTGTATCTACTATTACTCTGAGCGTGGTGATCGCATGGTTGATCTATATTCCTTCATCAACAAACTCTGGCAGGTTTCTTCTTGTGACAGTTGACATCAGATCTTCTCTCCAACAAAATTAGTTTCGCTCCCGTAATAAAACATTTTTGCTGATGGAATCTATTGTTTGTTTCGAAACTACATTCTGGGTTTCCCCTAGTTGATAGTTTTCCAAACGTTGCTGAGCTTAATGAGGTTAAAGAGACAATTCAACAGCTGTTGAAATGGGGGAGGAAGTATAACCGAAGCCTTGAGGAGCAAGCTCTGCTCAGCTTCATATGTTAGCTGGCTGATCTCAGATTGTTGAGGTTGATTACTTTCTTTGAATTCTGGTCAGCTTTAGTATCATGAGCGTGTGCCCCTCTTTCAAGAATTTAACTAGTTATCTTTTGTGTTGTCCTTCACATTTTTTTGTTTTAGGTGTCTGCTTGCAGAAGAATATTTTCTCTGGATAATTGGTCTGAAATTTTGTACCGTTGAGTATGTTTTGTAGCAGAGGTTAGTTACTTGTGAAGCTTTCTTGAACATTGCATGACTTGTTCTTCTCTGCTTGTTGGTAGGATACTTGATGCCTCGCTAAGCCTCTGCTTTTCTAGATTGCTCATTGAAAATTGCATTTGTACTTACTCAGGTGCATTTTAGCTTTTGAGTAAATAACTCTGTATAAATGTGCTATCCTTGTACTAATTTTCGGTTTTAATAGGTCGCCCTAACCTGCATTGCCAAACTTCGTGATAATAGATTTTTGTTTCATGGGGCCTTGAATTCTGACATAGTGACATGTCTTGATGTTATGATGGTTAAACATTTATCCACTGGTGCTTGCCACTCAGTTCTATTTAAACTTGTTATGGCAATTCTAAGGCATGAGTCATCAGAATCTTTGAGAAGGCGGTATGGTTCTAAGTTCCATTACTTGTATTTGTACTTTCTTATAATACAACATAAAGCCATATTCTGCCCAGCTGATCCATATTCAGTTTTTCCCTGCTTCTGACACAATTTCCTTTGTCCATCAGCCAATATGCATTAAAATTTTGGTGGCTTTGAATAGTGAATCTCTATTTTTGAACTACTTTTACTTTTAATTGTGTCTATTTCGGTTATATATTCAATCTTGTTGGACAAATTTGTTGGCTCAGTATAAGACCAGTGTTGTAATATAACTTCATGTTTTGCTGGATTCAATCAAAAGCAATCCGACCAAAGAAATTGTTAGTGTACTAGGTGACCAACTTGTATGTCTTAATAATATTATTTTGGTCCACTTTTATTACTTTTTAAAAAGTTGTTAACATTCTCCGTCTGCTTTGGTTTTTAAGCTAGGTACATGATGCATCGATGCTGAAGCAGTCTCAATGTTTCTGTTCTAAGTCATCTCACTCCTAAATTTGCAAACTTTAATTCATAATATTCTCTTGATGAGAATATCGGAGTAGGTTACTTACAAAGTTCCCTTCCATTTTGTCCCACTAGTGCAAGGTACCATCGAGAAATTTATGCTTTTTCATTTGCCCTTCTTTTTCAGGATTTGGAACCATTCCTGAATCAAAGATCAAGATATGCACAGCCTATTCTCCAAGGATCACTATCCCATTTTTTGTTTCCTTCCTGTTGTGCTACAACAGTGTGTGAGAAGATCTTGTTATCTTCCACTACTGACACTTGAATTACATCCTAATCACCCGTTAAGGTGGCTTCTAGCAGTGACCTCACTGCTGATGGCTTCATTGATGGCATAAGGCTTGCATGGTCTGTGCATTTAATGTTGATATATGACGGAATATCTGCAATGGATACAATTTCCGCTGCTTCAACAACAGATATGGGGCACTTATGCTTCTGCCTGGATTACTAAGCAAGTGTAAGCGAAAATGAAATCAATATAAAAAGATATGGATCATGGGTTAAAGCAAATTGATATGAGTAATTATCCATTGGTTGCCCTAGTAATTATCCATTCCTAGGGCAAGGATCACTAATTTAAGAGTAATCCACTTTCATGGAACTAATTTCTTCTTAAACTCTTTAATTAACTACAACTCTCGTTTAGCAGCTAATGAATTTAAAAGCATTGTTTACAAATCCCTAAACCCACAAATTACCTTAAACATCAATTCTCTGACTAAGATGTCATTTTCTCATAAAATTCACCTAGACATTTTTACAAATACTTCTTGGGCGTGAAAATACTATGTTCTATAATTTAAGAGATCAATTCAAATCTAGTCTTAATTGAAGGATTCTTTAATACCTAAGCTTAATAACCATAATCCAACTTCTAATCACCCTAATCTACTTAATCCATAAGGTCACTACTCACACATGTAGAAAACAAACATCAAGTCAGTAAAATGATAAACATGATTAAGAAACTAAATTTTAATAAACCATAAAAGATTCAAACAAAGAGACAAGTAAATCAAAATAAATAAAATAAAATCATGTCTAAACTTAGATAAAAAAAAAAAGACTTAAGAAAAAATATAAGATAAAAGCTTAGGGATTTTAAGGTGCTAAAACTATTGATAGAAAAGAGAAAGTGTATTCGGGTCAACCCGAGACAAACCAGATCAAACCCGAATTGTGATGCGAAATGGCATTTGGTCGAGTGGTTTGGCCGATTGAAATATGCATGTTGGTCGGCAGAGGACACGTCTATAGCTCCTGCCTTCTTCTACATCGAGTGGTTTGGCCAACTAATTTATGTGTTGGTCGGTTTGGCTGACATGTCTTCACCAAATTGGCCATAACTCTTGAACCGTAACTCGGAATGAGATGAATTCAACGCCTACGTGAAGCTAACTCAATTTTCTATCTCCATACCAAATTCAGATCAAACTGGGCACGGGAAGTCCTTCAACGCACAAGATCTTCAAGTCGCTTCGGATTGTAAAAGTGTGCTTCTAGTGTTGGCTGGATCGACCCACCAAACCGACCTGTTTTGGGGTGTTAGTCGGTGCAGAAAGCTTTGGAGGGTAATTGGATTCTTCCTCACCCTTCTTGGTGCTTTTCTCATCCGTTTTATCTTTCCTTGCTCCTAGATTCCTTTGGTACCTAAAATTGATGAAATATGCAATACAAATGCAAGAAAGAACATCTAGGACTCAGCTTATACTAAATGAAGCCTATAATGCACAAAACATGTTAAATGCAAGCCTAATGTCTATAAATGCTAAGTAAAACATGTGTTAATGATGCTTAAATACGAGTATATCA